TCGGCGTCCCCTCCATCGTCGCTGTCTTCGCTGCCCTCAGCATCCTGCTGCTCTTCAGCCGGCGTCCCAGCCGACTGCTCCCCTGTGGTCGGCGTCCCAGCCGACTTCTCCCCTGTGGTCGGCGTCCCAGCCGACTTCTCGGTCGCCGACTGCTCCTTGACCTGCTGCTCAGCCTGCTCCTCCCCTATCGACGACGACTGCAAACCCATGTCGACCTGCCGCTTGTCACGTCGGCCACCGGCGATGCACTTGGCCGGCGCCGAAGGCGGCGTCCCACGACTCCCCTCATCGCCGGAGGCCGACGCCGAGGTCAGCCCACGCAGGTCGGCCACGAGGGGAGGGGCAGGGGTCAGAGGGTGAGGGGTAGGGGTGTGGACGCCCTCAACGTCCTCAGTAGCAAGCTCACCAACCTCGGCAAGCAGCGGCAGCGTCGCCGACAAGGTGTCAGAGGGCGGGGTGGATGGCGACCGGCCGGACACCGGCCCATGCTCCGTTTTCCACTCAGCCAGCGACATCTCCTCGTAGAACACCACGTCCGACGTGGTGACCACTCGGTCAGTGGCGACGTCAAGGAGCTCCCAGCCCTTGCTCGCCTCTGACACGCCAAGGTGCAGGCCCCACCTGGCCTTCGGCTTCAGCTTCCCACCACGCTGCTGCTCAGGGACAAGGAACTGCGCCATGCATCCCCACACCCGCGCCAGCGACAAGTCGGGCTTCTTCCCGGTCAGCAACTGGTACGGCGTCGTCCCCGGAGGCAGCGTCGACCTCTCAAGGCAGTTGCGGACCCAGGCGGCCTGCCGCAGAGCGAGGTGCCACCAGTGGTGCTGCACACCCATGTGCAGCAGCATTGTCCGCACCGACTCCACCACCGTCCTCATCTCCCGTTCCGCCATGCCGTTCTGCTGCGGGGTGTATGGGCAGGTCAGGTCGTGGATGATCCCCTTTCCGTTCACGAAGTCGGTGAACTGCTTCCCAAGGAACTCCCCTCCCCGGTATGAGCGCAGCATCAACACCGACTTCTTCGTCTGCCGCTCAGCCACCGCCGGCCACTGCACGAACGCTTGCAACGCATCTGACTTCTTGGCGACCGGCTTCACCCACACGTAGCGGGTCTTGCGGTCCTTCAGCAGCAAGAAGTACAGGCTGCCATCCTTGGCAGCCACACGAAACGGCCCGCACAGGTCGATGTGCACGACGGCTAGCACGTCGTCGGCGTCGGAGCCATGGTTGGGAAAGGTGTGCCGCGCCAGTTTCCCCCCAACGCACGAGACACACGGGGAGTCGGCGTCCGTCGCCGACTTGAGGTCCAGCCCAATGGCGACCTCGTTCTTCGCCGAGCTCCGTATGGTGTCCATGCCGACATGCGCAAGCCGCGCATGCATCTGGTCCGGCGTCGACTTCGTCTTCGAGACGATCGCCCGCAGAGCCACAATCTCCATCGTGGTCGGCGCTGACGTTGTCGTGCAGGGGCGCAGGTCGGTGCAGAGGACTCGCCCAGAGTACGTCGCCCGCCCGAGCACCTCCCCTGCTGCCGAGACGAGCAGCATGCCGTCTCCGTCCTCCTGCAGCTTCACGCCATGCTCCTTCAGCTGGCCGGCCGACAGCAGGTTGGCTCGCACACCTGGGACGTACAACACGTCGGGGATGAGCACCTCCTTCCCGGCCTCTCCTTGCAGAGCGACGGTGCCGCGGCCCTGGACATCCTGCAGCGCCCCATTGAAGCCGCGCACATGCCTGATGGCGCCGCTCGGCTGCAAGTCGACGAAGGCTTCCTTCGTCCCCATCAGGTGGTGGGAGCAACCGCTGTCGAGCAGGACCACTGCTGGGTTCGCCTGCACAGCTACCGCCACCGCCTGGAAGTTCTCTCCGGCCTCCGGTGCCAGAGAGATGGTCGGCTCCACGACGCCGACCAGCGAGCACGACGCAGTCTTGTCGTCTCGCCCCTTGCCGCCAGCAGGGGAGTCGGCGTCCTTCGCCGAAGTCGATGTCTTGGTCGACTGCTTCTCCTTGCGCGGCTGGTTTCTGTCACGACGAGGACGACGGCTGCCTGACCTCCCGCGGCCTCCCTTAGCGTCGTCGTCGTCGGAGTCACTGCGGTTGGGACACTCGAAGGAGAGATGGTCGGGGTCGCCGCACTGCCAGCACTGCCGACGTCGACCTCCTCCTCCCCGACCGCTGTCTTTGGTCGACTTCTTCTTGTCGACCTCCTTGGCCGGCTTCCAGCCACTGCTACCACCACCGCCAGACTGCCCGCGCTGCCCCGGTCGGCCTCCTTGCTTCGCTGAGGTAACCGAATTCGCCTGCGCCAAGAGCTCCTGCGATCGCTCAGCCTCCTGGATCGCCTCGTCCTGCAGGATATACGAGGTCAGGTTGTCCTCGTTGAGCGTCGCCCTCGTGCTCGGCGCCATGGACAGCCGCTTCAGCAGGTTGTAGCTGCTAGAGAGTCCCTGCATGACATGGGTGATGTACGACGCCGTGGAGTACTGCGCGCCGGCCATCCTGATGGTGGCGAGAATTCGCCGTGCCCGGTTGCAGTAGTCGGTCGCTGTCTCCTCGTCACCCATACGCAGGTGCGTCAGCTGTCCCTCCAGCTGGGCGATGAACAAGTCGTCGGTGACCTGGTACGTCGACTCAATGAAGTGCCACGCCCTGTGGCCGGCGTCGATGTACTCCCGGCACCATTTCAAGGCGATCTGCACGCCCGTCGAGCAGCACCGCGAGATGACCGTGAAGGTCAACAGCTGCACGGCGCGAAACTCCGCACGCAGGTTGGGGTGGTGCTCCCCTGGCCTCGCCACGGTCCCTCGGGCGAAGCCGATCAGCCCGGCCATCTCCAGCTGGGGCTCGATGGCTTCCTTCCAGGTGAGAATGTCGGGTCGACCGACCAGCGGAGGGGTGACCGAGATCCTGTCCGGCGTAAACTTGAAGTAGCCGTAGCTCGGTGCAATTCCACCTGCCGTCACCTGGGACGCTGTCATCGGCGACAATCCGCTTCGTCGTCCTCCGACGTCACCATGTGAGGAGTCTGCAGCCGCCGACCACTGCATCCCTCGCGCCTCAACGCCGCCGGCTTCACCGGCGTGTATCACACCTCGTTGCCTCGACATGCCTCCCACACTGCTGCCGACCTGACCTCCACCGGCGTTGACGCCCACATCGACGCCGCCGTCGTTGTTCACCGGTCGAGGAGAGGCAGGTTGAGAAGGGGGGTGCTCCGCCGCTCACACGGAGCGGAGTCCGGCCTCGACGACTGCCCAGGGTATCGCCCCATACTCCTGGGCCTCATGGCGTCTCCTCGCATCCTCCAGCCGTCCCTCCAGGGTGTCCATCACCTTGGCGTCGCCTACGCGCACGCTAGTGACTGCACGGCTGCCGGTCTACGAACACGATCGGTATGTGCTAAGTTGGCTAGACTGAACTACGTCGCGGTGTCGTCCACGCTCACCGCACCATGCGGAGATAACTGCAGCAACGGGTGCTAGGCTACGGGCTAGGCACGTGTGCTCGTGTGATCTCTGCGTTCGTTAGTCCTTAGTCGTTTTCCTTGTGTACACACTACTTGCTAGTTCACGGGGAAAGTTGGCAAGAGTTCCACTAGGAAAAGTTTAGAACAATGATCCAAGGAAGTTGGCATAGCAAGACTACATCAGAGCAAGCATTCAGGTCGGCCAACTGCCAGCGCAGCTTGGTCGACCGCGTTCCAGCACGACTTGGTTGACCGCGCTCCACCAAGGCAAGGTCGACGGCGTGCCAACGTCGCAGGTTGACGGCGTGACAGCGTTGCTTACGCAGGACAGCAGTGCACCCTGCTTCGCAGTTGCGCGCAGATGATTGGCGTGCAGAGTCTCGTCACCTGCACAGCGCACACACCACGTCAACCTCGAGCTGACGACTGCCTCTGATCCGCCATGACGACCTCGGGATACCACCACCGAGGTCGGGCTCGCCAACTTCGCCTGGGCGACCGTCGCACTCCTCCGCAGCACTTCGTCACCCAGGTAACCTGGTCGACCAGGCAACCACGTCGACCAGCAGCTCCCGGTCGTGCCCGTCGACCTCCCAAGTCGACGACCACCTCCACGTCGACCTCACCAGGACGACGTCCCCTCTGGTCGACCGGCTCCACGTCGACCAGTACTCCTGGTCGACCTGCTCCTCGTCGACCAGCACAGTCGTCGGCCGACCACCCACGTCGGCCACACGAAGCTGGCGTCACAAAGTTGACGCCCCGCTACTCGACGCCCAACTGCTCGGCGTCCTAAGTCAAGGTCGACGTCGGCCCCTCTTTCGTCGACCACCAGGTCCAGTCGACCACTAACAGGTCGACCTGCCGTCCGTTAGCCGACCGCCGAAGTCGGCTACGCCAAGTTGACGTCCTCCGGAGGTCGACTCCCAAGTCGATCTCCCTGAAGTCGGCGCCACCCTGAAGTCGGCGCCCGTGCAGTGGTCCCCCGTGCAGGTCGACCTCCTCGTCGACCAGCTCACCCACTGCTGCAGGTCGGCTGCTCCCCTCACACCCGACCACGAAGTCGGCTCCGCCCAAGCGAGGACGGGGCCAATACCCAACTCCCGTTGACATAGGCGACAGCGAGCAGCAAAGTCGACGAGCTCAGCAACTAGGGCAGACGCAGCAGTGGACTCGAAAGAAGGGTCAGTGACGACAGTAGCAAGGAGACGGGTGACAGTAGGACTAGCAGCACGAAGAGAGTCCGACTCCGGGTCAGCAAGACCAGGAAGAGAGGACTCAGGAGGAGAAGGTAAAGGGGCACGCAGAGGAGCAGTAGACGGACGCAGAGACATCTGGTGCGTGCCAGGGACAGGAGGAGGAGGCTGACGCGAGCCACGACCACTAGTGCGAGCAGCACGAACAGGCGACGCAGGGCGAGACGCAGGCTCACGACGCTCAGCAAGACCTCCAGTAGGACCAGTGTAGGGAGAGGGAGCAGGTAGTGCGGAGGCAGGCTGTAAATGTAATTGTGACGGGACAGGCTGTGGACACTCTAAAGAAGGAGGAGGACCTGTAGAAGGTGGAAGACCAAGAACCTGCTGCAGGAGTGGAATGAAGTACGGTCGAGGCCACGCGGCGACGCCAGACACAGCAGGGACAGCACCAGTACCCCCAGCAGGAGCACCCGCTCCAGCAGCACCTCCAATAGCTCCAGAACCTCCAGCAGCACCAGTAGTACCCCTAGCAGGACCGTGAGCAGTAGGCTCAGCACCAACGCCCGCAGCAGCACCAGCTCCAGTCGAACCCGCAAGCCCAGCAGCTCCAGTACTCCCAGTACAAGCACCTCCGGGACCCGCGGCACCAGCACCCTCAGCAGCCGAAGAACCTCCAGCTCCAGCAGCACGCCTCCAGCGCCGGGCAAACCACTCTCGTAGCTCCGGAGGAGAGAGTGTCTCCCAGCGAGACGAAGCACCCGGAGGACCTCCAGGAGTAGCACCTCCAAGCTCAGCACCCCCAAGCTCAGCACCCACAGGCTCAGCACCCCCAGTCACAGCACCCCCAGGCGTAGGACCCCCAGGCGTAGCAACCCCAGGCACAGCACCCCCAGGCTCAGCACCCCAAGGTTCAGCACCCCCAGTCTCAGCACCCCCAGGCTCAGCACCCTCAGTCTCAGCACCCCCAGGCTCAGCACCCTCAGCAGCACCAGAGTCCCTAGTAACCTCGACAGGCTCGACTGCGTCTACCTGGGACACACCTGAAGGGGCTGGACCCTGAGGGGGGAGGGGGTCTACCGGGGGGGGACCTGGGACAAGGAAGAGCGGGGGCGGGGGGAGGGACGGAGTGCGGTAGGGAAAGATGCGGTAGTAGGGGACCGACTCGTCAAACGTGACGTCCTGGGAGGACAGAACACGGCGAGAGGTGGGGTGGTAGAACTGCCACCCAGGCGCGTCAGGGGGGAACCCCAGGAAGACGCAAGGAGTAGCACGAGGGGACAACTTGTCCGCAGACAAGTCGCGGACAAACGCCCGAGATCCCCAGACCCGGAACGTCGACGCATCGCCAACCTTCCCCGTCCACAGCAAGGCTGGGGAGGTCTCCGGCCTGGAGACCCTGGGGTGGAGGTTGATCTGATGCGCCGCGTACCTCACCGCAAACGGCCACAGAAAATGGGGGGCAGCCGCATGCATCATGGACGTACGAGCGACGTCCATGACCATGCCAATGCGGCGCTCAGCGATCCCATTTTGCTGCGGAGAGTCCGGAAGCGTGAAGGTCTGACGGATGCCTCGTGCGCGACAGTAGGCTCTCAGAAGGCCAGAGGAAAACTCTCCGCCTCTGTCCGAGTGCAGACGCAGAACAGGAAAGTCCGAGCCAAAGCTCTGCCTGAGCTGGAGACTAGCTGTGCGGATCCAGTCGATCAGCACCTCAGTGACATCACCCTTGATGCGCAAGGGGAAGACTGCGGTGTAACACGAGTAGTCGTCAACAACAAGCAGGAAGTAGCGCTCGTGACCCTGTCCACGGACGCGGGCTGGGCCCCACACGTCCATGTGAAGCGTCTGCAGCGGGGCCTCTGTCGGAGGAAACTGGGAGGAGTGAGGGGCAGCCCGCTGACGCCCCTCGACACAAGGGACACAGGAAGGGCCAGGCCCCTGAGGAAGGGGAGGGAGGGACCTGGGGAGACCAGAAACAAGAAGACGGGAGGCCATGCCTCGGAGCCGAAGCAGAGAGGGGTGACCAAGGCGGTGGTGCTAGAGGAGAGTCTCGTGAGACAGGAGCGGACACGAACAGGGGGCAGACTCAGGACCAGACCTGGACGCTGCAGAAAACACTTGACCCGACGCAGCTACCCTACCAGACTCAGCAACAGGAGGAGACGCAGTGGTTAGTGTGTACAGGCTCGACCCCGGCTGACGTGTAAACGTAGCCAAGTGTCGGCCTGTGCGAGCCTTTGTGCAGTGCGTCACTCGCAAACGCGCAGGAGTGAACTGGTGCACTCCCCCATCCTGTCGGTCAGCACCACTCACCAAGTTCGTAGAGAACGAGGGGAGGTAGAGACCAGACAGGGCGCCAGAGGGAGCCGCCGGACACGGGAGGACTGTGGAGAAGTGAGACAGGATAGGACCCCCAGAGGGGTCAGCCAGAGACACCGCAACTGGCCGACTAAGCGGCGTAAGTGTGGTGCGGTCTCGAAAGAAGGAGCGAGAAGCCCCAGAGTCAAGGGTGAAGGTGAGGGAGGCCGAAGCCGACGCAGTACCTGAGAGCGCAGACTCACCAGTACCTGAGGACGCAGACGCACTAGCACCTAGAGCAGCAGCGTCGCAAGCACCTAGGGCAGCAGCCGCACCAGTACCTAGAGCAGCAGCCTCAATGCCCGGATCGGGCGGGAAACACCGGTAACAGTCACCCTCATCACTAATAGTCACAGCATACATGGCAGAAAGAATGGCATCAAAATCAAGATCATAGATGGCAACTCCCGCCCTAGACAGCTCGCCCCAGCGAGGGATCTCAGTGGCCTCAGGGAACTCGTGACGCCACGCGTCCGTCAGGCGGCCAAAGCAGCGCTGGGTGGGGTGCGCACCCCCACACTGCTCACCCGCACGGTCGCCGGTGCGCAGGACGTAGGTGCACGGACCAAAACCCCCACCCCGCTGGCGTGCAGTGTACCACTAACAGAGCTGCTGAGGGGACAAGGTCTCACGACCGCGCTGCTGCTGCTGGCGCTGACCACCACCGGAGCCACTCCTTTGCGTAGACCCGCGACCAGCTCCACCGCCACCTCCGCCGCCTTCGCCGCCTCCGCCACCACCGCCGCCTCCCCCACCACCGCCGCCTCCGCTACCACCGCCTCCTCCGCTCCCTCCGCCACCGCCGCCGCCTCCGCCCCCACTGCTGCCACCGGTACCCCCACCTCCTCCACCACTCCCACCACCACTCCCACTCCCTCCGCCGCCTCCACCGCCACCTCCACCGCCCCCGCCAACTCCTCCAGCGCCCTTGCCCCCCTTGCCCTTGCCTGTGCGGCGCTTCCCCGAAGGGGCAGACGCAGCACCGACCGACTCAAAACCAACGAGGTCGGCCGCAGCAGCAGAAGCAACAGAGCGCAAGAGGGGGGAGGGAGAACACCCCTCAAAGACAGGGGTGCGGGGGTCACCACGAGAGGCTCCTACAGCGACTATGCTCTTCTCCGCCGCTAGGAGGGCCTTCTCGAGGAGGTCAATGGTGAGAGTGGTGGGGCACACTGCGAGGAAGTGGTCCCGGACTACTCTAAGGGAGTCAGGGAGGTGAGTGACTATGAAGTAGAGGGTGATGTACATAGGGGGGGGGGGGGGTTCACAGAAGTCAGCAGGAAGCGCAGCGCGGTAGCGAGTGTCACTAGTGCGGAGGTGCGTAATGAGGTCAGCGACTGTGGGAAAGGCAGCAAGGTCAGGGAAGAGGTACGGCAGCATGAGACGGCTCAGTGCAGCAGTGGCAGGGGAGGAGTAGCGTGCAACTACAGCGTCGTACAAGGTCTGAGCACTCTTGTACTGACTAAAGTGCGCACGCTCGGAGGTAGGGAGGTGGCGACGCACAGCAAGACGTGCAGCAGCGTCGCGCGTGGCCCACTGGGAGCGAACAGTGGCGTCAGCATCAGCAGCAGGGGCAGGGGAAGCACCAGAGGTGAGGTCAAAGAGAGTGTCGTCTGCCCTATAAGAACAGCTGCAGGTCATCTACCCAGACGTCAAAGTCAATGGCTCGACCCTCAGCGTCAAAAGCGAGGACACTAGGGGTAGCCATGACCACAGTAGACTAGCAGTGCAGACAGTAGGGTGAGGGCAGTGCAGTGAAAGAGGCGCTGTGCTTACCGGACGGGGCAGCTCGGGCGGCTCGGTAGCAGGGCGGCTCGGCTGCTCGGCTACCGGGCGGCACGGCGGCTGGGCGGCTCGGCAGCAGTGCGGCTCGGCGGCTGGGCGGCTCGGCTGGAGTGCGGCTCGGATGCCCGGCGGCTCGACTGTATGGCGGCTCGGCTGCTGGGCGGCTCGGCGGCTCGGCTGTCCGGCTGCTCGGTTGCCCGGGCGCCTCGGCGGTGCTGCTGTAGGGCGGCGCAGCGGTCGGCTGCTCGGCTCGGTGGGGCGGGTCGGGCAGCTCGGGTGGCGGGCGGCGCTGCAGCAGGTGACGGGGCCGCAGATGAGAGCGTCGGGGCCTCCAGTGAGAGCGGCGGGGCCGCAGGTGAGAGCAGCGGGGCCGTAGCAGAGGGCGGCGGGGCCGCAGGTGAGAGCGGCGGGGCCGCAGGTGAGAGCGGCGGGGCCACCAGTGAGAGCGGCGGGGCCGCAGGTGAGAGCGGCGGGGCCGCAGCAGAGGGCGGCGGGGCCGCAGGTGAAAGCGGCGGGGCCGCAATAGTTGAGGGCGGCGGGGCCGCAGTTGAGGGCGGCGAGGCCGCAGTAGTTGAGGGCGGCGGGGCCGCATTTGAGAGCGGCGGGCCGCAGGTGAGAGCGGCGGGGCCGTGTAGCGAGACGGCGAGGCCGTGAGAAGGGTGGCGACGGGCCGCTGCTAGGGCGGCGATGGGGCCGCTGGTGAAAGGGCGGCGCGACACGACCGTTAGGGCTGCGCAACGCGACCGTAAGGGCGGCGCGACGGGCCGCTAAGGGCGACGCGACGGGCCGCTAAGGTGACGCGACGGGGCCGCTAAGAAGGGCGCGACCCTAGGTGCGCTTCGGGCACGGGCAGGACGCGCCCCGGGCAGGAAAAAAAAAAGGGATCGGTGGGCCCTAGGAATAGTTCCCACGAGGGAACCTGCTCGATACCATGAGAAAATGTGAACGAGAATGAATGAAGTGGGTACAAGTACTAACCCTAATTGGGTTGTACCCCCTATGGGATACCCCACTATAGCCTACACAAAAGCATAAGCTATAATGTTCTGACAAAACAGACTATAGCATATAAGTTCGACGGTTCAGTTGTAAACTTTGTGCAAAACATCTTAGACCGCGTAAATTTACAATGTCTATGCATTTTGTCAGAGCGTGTCGCACCACAATTCGTCGATTTAGTTTCGTGCGAGTAGGAAAACCCAGAAATCAGTGACATTTCAAGCGGGGATTTCTTCGAGTCACCATTCTCGTTAATATTCCCAGTATTACCAAATGTGTCATTCTGGTTGCAAAGCACATAAAAATGTCAGAAGACTAAGCGAGAATGGTGAAACTAACAGCATGCAAGAGTACAAGTACCAAACCCTAATTGGGTTGTACCCCATATGGGCTACCTCACTACAGCCTACACAACATGCAACATATAAGTTCGACACACACCCATAGGCAAAGTGGGGAAGATCAAGAGGTCACACGACCAGTCAAGAAAAGCAAAGCAAGCTCAGGGTGGATCACGAAGTCACCACACACTCTGAGCACAAACGAATGGCTAAAGATTATATGCAGAGTTATATAAATGAGAACAAATAGTACAGTGATCAAAACCTAGCAAGCGCAAGCATGCATGTATAACTATAAAGATTACTATACAAGCAAAGTAAGGAAGTAAATAAGTGAGGCCAAGTAGGCACAAGGCCTAAAACAATACAAAAATGCTGATGATCACAAGGCTGAAGTGCCTTGGTGAAGATATCAGCACTGTTGGCCCGAGAGGCCATGTAAGCAAGACGAAACTGACCACGCTGCTGCAACTCTCGAGCAAGGAAGTAACGGCAGAGCGATGTGTTTCGTCCTGTGCTCCAGTCTGTGCTCCTGACACAAGGCAATCACGGCTTTGTTGTCGACGTAGAGAAGTGGAGGAGAACGAGGCGGCTCTCCCAAGTCGGTGAGCAGGTAGGTGAACCAGCGTAACTCTTGTGCAGCCATGGCCCCTACGTAGATCTCAGCCTCACAACTGGAAATGAGAATAGAAGACGAGCGGGTAGACCGCGAAGAAACAGAGCCTGAGCCAAGGTTGAAAGTGTAACCCTGTGACGACCGATGCGTAGCCAAGTCATCAACCCAAGAAGCGTCTGCATGTCCAGTGAGGACAACTGGACCCTATCCTCCAAGCACGAGTAGAGAAACACCCTCTTCGCGGCCTTCCAGTGCTTTGGTCGGTGTCTCCCGGGCGCAACGTAACGTGTAATGATGCTAAGAGGGTAGGCAAGGTCAGGTCGAGTGCAGGTCATCAGGTACATGAGGCAGCCCACAAGATCTGGATACGGGCCACTCGGCTCTACGAACTCGTCCGAAGGTGGAGCTGAGAGCGAGTGAATCTTAGGCAGAGGAGTGGACGGTGGCGAGGAGTACTGGAAGTCGAAGCGTTGAAGGAACTACTGCACCATATGTGATTGGGTCAAGGTGATGGTGCGCCGTGCTCTGTCCCGGGTGATCTGCAAGCCAAGATAGCTATGCAGCTCTCCCACGTCTGTACACGCGTGTCTCTTGTATAGCTCCAACTTCACTAGGGCCAGTCCCTCAGTGACCAAGTCGTCGACGTACATGAGGATGTAGAACGGCGGCAGCAAAGTGTCGATGCGTAGAAACAGCGACGGGTCAGCAGTCGAAGGAGCAAACCCATGAGCCGCAAGCGTCGTCCTCAGTGTGTCGTGCCACTTGCTGGCGGAGACCGTAGACTGGCCGCCGGAGGCTCCACTAGGTACCTGCAAGAAACGACCCAGTGAAGCCAGGTGGGCAGCGCAGCGAGATCTCCTCGTGCAGGCTGCCCTGTAAGAAAGTTGTGCTGAAGTCAAGAGAGTGAAGCTCGTAGTCACGCTGAGCGGTGACGTCCAGTAGTACCCCAAAAAGTAGTTATCTTCAAGGTAGGGAGAAGGTCTGGAAGAAGTCAACTCCCTGTCGCTGACTGAAGCCTTGTGCAACGTAACGAGTCTTGAAGGCAGGCGGAGATCCTGGTGGCCGCTTCACTCTGAAAATCCACATACCATCGACAATGTTCGCCCCAGGAGGGGGAACTGCGTCGACATATGTGCCTGTGGACTTCCAAAATGCCATCTTTGTGTCCATGGATGTCTGCCACTCAGAAGAGTAGGGACCCGTAATCGCCTCTGCGTAAGAGCGCGGGGTCGGGATGTCTGGTGCATCCGGGGACACAGACGTGTAACAGTAGGACTGGCAGCACGAACGGAGTCAAACTCAGGGTCCGGACCGTCAGGAAGAGAGGACGCAGGTGGAGACGGCAGAGGAACTCGTAGTGGAATAGAGGAAGGACGAAGTGTCATACTGTAAGTGGCGGGGACAAGAGGAGGACGCGAACGCGGAACACGACTACTAATGCGACCAGTGCGAACAGCCAAGGCAGGACGAGACGCAGGCTCACGACGCTCAGTAAGACCTCCTCTCTGCTCAGTGTAAGGAGAAGGAGCAGGCAGTGGGGAGGCTGGCTGTAACTGCGGCCGCGATAAGTTAGGTGGTGGACACAGTAAGGGAGGAGTAGGGCCAGTGGACGGGAGACTAAGAGCCTGCTGAAGCAGTGGAACAAAGTACGGTCGTGACCGCACAGTGCCTCTAGAATTACTACCAACGGCATTAGAACCCCCAAGGCCAGCGCCTCCAGCTCCGAACTCTCCAGCTCCAACGCCTGCAGCACCACCAGCTCCAGCAGCTCCAGTACCTCTACGACGAGCACCTCCGGGACCAGCGGCTCCAGGACCTCTAGCAGCTCCAGCTCCAGTGCATGCAGCACCTCCAGCTCCAGCAACTCCAGTACCTCCAGTACGAGCACCTCTAGGACCAGCAGCTCCAGCACATTCAGCACCTCCAGGACCAGCAGCTCCAGCACCTCCGCTACCTCCAGCGACAGCGCCTCCAGCTCCAGCGCCTACAGCACCTCCAGCTCCAGCAGCTCCAAGTCCTCCAGTACGAGCACCTCCTAGACCAGCGGCTCCCGCACCTCCAGCACCTCCAGGACCAGCAGCTCCAGTGCCTCCAGCGACAGGGCCTCCAGTGGCAGACCCCGAGGCTCCAGCTGCGCCACTCTGAAGGCTCCAGCGCCAAGTAAACCACTTGCGCAGCTTCGGTGGAGAGACAGGCTCCCGCCGTGATGAGGCACCCGTAGGACGACCATCAGACAAGGTAACTACAGGCTCGGCACACTCAGGCTCAGCTCCCCCAGGCTCCGCACGCTCAGGCTCAACACCCCCAAGCTCCCCACCCTCAGACTCAGCAACCCCAGGCTCAGCACCCCCAGGGTCCGCACGCTCAGGCCCAGCACCCTCAGGCTCCGCACGCGCAGGCTCACCACCCCCAGACGCAGCACCCCTAGCATCACTAGAGTCGACAGCTACCTCCACAGGCTCGACAGGCTCGACAGGGTCAACCTGGGACACACCTGAGGGAGCAGGACCCTGGGGAGGGAGGGGGTCTACCGAAGAAGGAAAAGGTGCAAGGAAGAGCGGCGGGGGGGGGGGGGGGGGAGCGGGGCAGTGCGGTAGGGGAAGAGACGGTAAAAGGGAACCGACTCGTTAAACGTGACGTCCTAAGAGGGCAGGACACGGCGTGAGGTGGGGTGGTAAAACTGCTAGCCAGGCGCGTCAGGGGGAAAGCCAAGGAGCACACAGGGAATGGCGTGGGAGGAGAGCTTGTCCGCAGAAGAATCGCGAACAAAGGCATGAGAGCCCCTGACTCGGAACACCGACGCATCGCCAACCTCTCCCGTCCAACGCAGTGTCGGCGAGGTCTCCGGCAAGGTGACACGGGGCCAGGGATTGAGCTGATGCGCAACGTACCGACCGCAA